AAGGAAGGAAGGAAGGAAGGAAGGAAGGGTAGAAGGATGGATGGATGGAAGAATGAAAAAGGAGAAAATATCGTATTGAAAGATAAATCAAGAAGTGAGAAGAGAAAGAAAAAAAGAATTGTGAAAAAAATATTTGGTTTTTCTCATTTTATTACTATTCTATGTCTTGACTAATTGATTTAATCTCCATCGTTGAAAGGCTGAAGGAACTAAAAGACCAGGAGGCCACAACAGAAGATTTGATTTCCATAGAGGTGAATAAAAAAATGATTATTAATCATATATAGTATTCCAGATTATTCAAGGTTATCAAAGGAATTTTTTCATGACGTATTTCATACTCTTATCTGTCTTTTTGTCCAGCCTGTTGAAGTGGTTCATGCTGAACCTTTCGAAGATGACGCAGATCGTTTAAGGTGAGACTATAGTATCACGCGTCACACCATTCTAATACTTGTCACGCTCTCTACTCTAACTGATTTGTTAATTGTTTATTTGCTGTACTGTCTTGCTGTCAAGTCACGCATTCTTTGAGAGTTAATAATAGAACATGTTATTAAAAATCATTAGAAAAGAGGCTGAGAAAGAGAAAAAAATGTCACGCTGGAGAAGCTGGAGAGAGAAACTTGAGGAACTTCTGAATAGGCTAAAAAACAAGCTTGACCGAGTCAATACGAGAGATACCATCAATAGCAGGAAGGCACTTAAAGAACAGATTCATGATGCCAAGGTAGGTCACGTACGACGAAACTTAGCTACTATCAAAAAAACACTTCGTCATTCTTCATTTCGTAGGGAATTTCTACCAGCTGATTGGCAAGTGTTGAATACAATTGTACATAGATGTTTGAGTATGGAGTACAGTGCCTATTCGTATAGGCTGGTAATGAAATTCATTAGTGCTGGAGTTTCATTCAGCTCATTGACACAAAACAACTAAAAGACTGAGCATTTAAGTTTGCCCAACTTTTACGACTTAAGTTTGCCATAAATGAATTTTTGGAATATTTTTTAAAGGCTTGCAAACAAGAGCTTGATAAGCCAAAGGAGGAAGTCCAAGAAGCTCTTGCCTATGCTGAAGAGCTGACCAATGATAATGAACTTAGTGAAATGGAAAGAATGGAAATCAAAAAACACATTTCTGAATTCAACATTCAACTGAAGACTCTACAGAAACAAGCAGACGACGCGAATATCCGGTAAGGTTCAGTTATTCCCCTTTAAATTAGCTTAAAAAGTGAGCAAAAACGTTGAATAAAGCCTAGAAAGAGAATCTCAAAAAAGAAAGTGAAAAAGAATTCGCCGCGCCATGTTGATCGAATTCAAAGTCATCCCCAAGAGAAAACTTGGCGGAATACTTACCAAGTATTTTCCAAAGAATTAACAGCAAATTATTAGAATTAATTTACAGAAGAACGATTTCTGATGCTTTCTTTTAGACTGGAGTTGGAGCTCGATCAGATGGATGCCGAGAAATCCGACAAATTTGCCAAATGGAGAAAATGGCGGGAAAAAGTTCGAGCCTTGTTGGACGACCTTCAGGGAAAGCTCTCCAAGGTTAAGAACACTAGGACCCCGAAAAATCGCAAAGTTATCGAAGAAAATATAGCAACAATAAAGGTGATCATAATGATGATGATGATGATGATGATGATGATGATGATGATGCTGCTGCTGATGATGATGATGATGGGATTTAACATTATGGTTCCACAGTGTGGCTTTTCGTCTCTGAATCGAATTGGAATAAAATTAGAATTAAGATTCTGTAAATAAATTTGAAGCTTTTCATTTGTTTGAGTCGATATATTTTTGGGTTTGTTTATATTACTTCAGGAATGTGAAGAAAGTCTCCAGTCGTCTGCCCCTGAGATGCAGTTTGCTCTGGACTATGGGCGACAGCTTGCAGATGATGACATCTTAAGCGACAATGAACAGAAAACAGTCAAACAAGAAACACAGAAACTCGACAAAGAGCTGAATGAACTCAAAGTCGGCGTTGAAGAACAGAAAACAAGGTTATTTCCTTCGTAATTATGTAGGGGGAAAATATTTCTCGTGTCAACGATTGTGTGACCATCGTGACACAAAATCACTTCGATGTTTGTTTTGTCTGATCTTCAAACTTAAGTTATTAAATCTAGAAGATTACATAGTAAAGTCACTATACAACAACGAGAAATGTTGTCTTGACATCTCATTCTTGTTTCTAGAATGTTCCATGCTGCTGAACAGTTTGATTCACAAAGAATAAACAAGCTTGAGAAATGGAACGTAAAGAAGCGAACATCTCGACTGTTACTCGATAGGATTCGAACTAAAGTCGGCGCCCTGAAGTTCAAGCTCAAACCAAGGAATAAAAATGAGATTGATAACCGAATGGATGAGCTTCAGGTAAGATTTTTCAGAGAAGTTAGTGGTTCTCATGACCCGGTGCTTAAGTCAGCGGATTTCTATGGATCAGAGTTTACTGAACTGTTATTGAAGCCGTTACTTCTGGTTTAAGCAGGATGTTTTGTTTGTCTGTAAATATAGCCAATGCTACTTGGATTCTTTGGTTCTTGCAAATTTATCGTGAAAAAAATCCTACAAAGAATTTTTTCCAAGGATTTCAGTGTCAAATTTTGTAGTCACATTGAGCCCTTTGTCACGACAGTTAAAGTCGAAATGTCAACGGAGTGAAAAATTTTTGATAAAAGAGCAACTATGCACTTCACATGCCCAAAAATAAATACCGTATCACGATTGCGGCTATGACGCCAACATGACAACTACGACTTGAGATGATGCCGCCACGCTGGATGACATAAGGGATTAACATAGACATAAACATAACAGCGCCAGAACATGATATATAATCCAGTAAGGTGATGTTGCAAAAGTAATCCAACATGGCGGCTATGACGTCACATGAAAGCCAAGAAACTGAGATTTTACTCTATTTTCTTTTCGAAGGATTGTGAGGAAGAACTCGAAGCTGTGGAGGTTGAAGTCGCTTCGTGCATCAACAGTGGCCACGCGTTGTTAAGTGAGAATAATTTAGATAAAGACAGTTCGGATACCGTTAGAGATGATGTGGACCAACTTCAAGAGGATCTGTCCAAACTGAAAACTGAAATAGATAACCAAAAAGGGATGTAAGTACGCTTAGTATATTAATCTACCAGTTTTCTCTGTAATCACAGAGTGGGACAATCTCGAACGGAACCCTCAGATCCATGCTACGTGAAAACCCAAGATCGACTTGGAATTTAGAAGTTGGTTTTTGYGGAAAGAGGAAAACCGGAGAACACGGAGGATAAACCCTCGATGCACAGGAGAGAAAAAAAACATTTTCTCGCTTGGCATCGTGTGATTACAAGATGGCCGAGCTGTTTATCCTAATAGCCCCCTTCACAGTTCCCTGCGCCATCTTAAAAAGTAGCCGTGCCTTTGCATCGAAGCGAGACGAAAGGTGAGCTTGCAATGATAGAGACCTTTTTAAACACCTCGGACAATTATTCACATATCTCTATCATTGCAAGCTCATCGTTCGTCTCGCTTCGATGCAAAGGCACGGCTACCTTTCAAGATGGCGCAGGGAACTGTTTCCAGTCTTAATATATTAAGCAAGAAACGTCCTAATACTGAATTTTTTTGATTTTTTTTCGTTCAAGGCTGAATAAACTTTCAGAAGAAGAAGATGAAATCAAGAAGGAAAAGACTGCAAAATACCGCGACTGGAGGAAAGAAATCCAAGATCTTATTGACAGCTTAAAAGATAAATTGAAGCGCTTGAGGGCAACCGAGAAAAAGGACCCCAAAGACAAGGACGAGAAGAAAGAATGCACTGACTTAGCAAAGGTTAGTATTTCGATTTCGATTTCGATTTCGATTTCGATTT